ATTCAGGTAAATGTGAGGCACAAGAGTGTGAAATTTTGGAAGTGGCCTGAAACACGCGATGATTCTTTTTACAAGAACCACAATATCATTAAGTTAATCAGTCCTCCTACCATTGTTAATTCGAGGGGACTATTTACATTTTAAGACTGGACATGCAATTGTTTTTTGAATGAATTATTATCGCTAATGAAATTTGTTCAATCAATTACAAGTATGTATTTATTGCCCATTTTCTTGTTACTGTTATATGTATTATTTGTAAATTAGTTTAAAATTGTTTAAAATTGTTTACATTTATCATCTCCGAATTAAAATTGATTACTGAAGTTAAATTGTAGTTGACAATTCAAGTGTGGTGTGAAATGAGCAATTCCTCCATTTGCTAAAATAATGGATGATCTTCTAAAAAAGTGACATTCAAATATCCTTCAGATTAAAGATACATTATGTAAGAGCTAAATCTGCCTATTACAGGTCTTTTTTTCTGACTTCAAATGTTATATAAAGTATTATTTAGACATTTATTAAACTATTATTATTTTTTTTTTTTTTAAATACATTATAGGGTTTATCATTACATCATCTGTACATATAATTATATCATACAATTTCAAAATCATTTATTTAACATTCATTTATTATTGCCAGTAGATGTTTATCTTTAGTATTGTGTGCAGGGAATACGTTACTTCTACTAGTCTCAAAGGATATAGAGGATATTTGTCGTTTTAGAGTGAATAACATATTTTATTTCGTCGAGAAGCAAGAAAACTTATATTTTCACGAATGCGTAGCAGGAGTGAAAATATAAACGTTTTCTTGCTTAGAGATGAAATAAAATATGTTGTTCACGACAAATGTTCTATTTATTTTATGATTTTACAATCATTTTAGGTAAAAACAACTAGCCAGTGGAATAACACTTTTATTTCACTGATAAAACGCGGTATTCCACTACTGATCATAAAATAAACTGTTTTATTATGTGTAATTATATTTAGCTTGGTTTTCCCCCAAGATGTGTTATCTCCCCTTAAGGAGGCCAGAGTCTTGACATTATTAGCGACCTTTTTTGTACATTTTAAGGGAAAATTTTAAGCTGTTAAGCGGTAGATTAAAGTACAGATCCTTTCCACGAAATGAAAGTCGAAAGTTGAAAGGACTTAAGTACGTTTAGCTACCGTGTTGTTCATATAATTTAATAACAATAATTTTTGTTTATTTCTGTGTTTTTTGGGGGTATGCGGTAAAAATGTCCATTTATTAAGTATCTTCTTATTAGTTTTAATTTCCAGTTCTAAGGACTTTTTACTTTGTAAAAATGCTCTGTATCTTTCGCGGGTAGGAATATTTGCTTCTATTTTTGATTTATATATGTAATACTTAGTTAAAAATATTATTTGATTTACAAAAGTCCATTTGTTAATATTGTCAAAAACTGATTTATCTAGGTAACCAAGGTGAATTTCCTTTTGTGTTATATTTACGTTTATATTTGCTTTTGTAAGAATTTCATACATTTCGTTCCATATCCGTTGCGTGTAACTACAGTGTATAAACAAATGATTTACAGTTTCAATATCTGAAAGACAGAAAGAACACAGAGTTGATTCCGTCAGTCTTAATTTACAAAGTAATTTATTTGTATAAATTATTCTATGGATGTACTTATATTGGAGGTTCTGTAATTTAGAGTTAATATTTACATGGTGAGCTAATTTGAACATTAAATTATTTACATAACAAGCCCATAATCAACTCTCTTCCAAAAAGTAAGGGATATTGAAATGCAAATACCTATACAGGTTGTGATATGATAAATAGTCATAGACACTTGACAAGCTTTGAGAGTATGTCCACAGATGAAGAACTTATCGCCCCAACAGAACCACCGAGCTGCACATCGGACACGCAATACACATGGGAGGGGTTCATTGTCAAATTTGCTGGTTTATCTATCCATGTTTGCTTTTCTATCGGTCCCTGCATAAGATTTACTGTTTAGCGTATCTTTGCTTTACTGTGCTAAGTTTAATTTGATCGAGAGACGTGTTCGTCAACGTCAACCGACAACACTGCAAGAATTGGCCGTCAGATAAGCCGCCCATATGACCTGTTTATGTCCATGTGTAGGCAATTGGCCTGTTATTAACATACACTGGTTACCTCTAATAAAAACAGCAGTGCATTTCCGCAGTTTTGTATTGTTTCTGAATATCCCCTACTTTTTTTAAGAGTATATTATAGCGAGAATGGCCAGCTCTTTATCTACATCTTACGTAATGCATCTTTAAATTGTTCTTCCATGTATCAGCTGTACCAAAGACACTATATCCCTTATTTGTTGTCGCTCTGCTTATACAATATGGTTAACAAATTATTTTTCAACTGTTTGACGAAATACAGTGATGAAATCGCACACCGTACGTCCGTCACATTAAAAATGATGAATTTGCAAAAAGGGTATGAGAGACTGGTTAAATTCTTTAAGGAATTTATGTAGAGACGAATCCTGGTTTCATTGTGTGATAAAGTTAGATTCGAGAGTAATCACAATTCACAGAAAATAATGTTTGAATACATATGATTGGATAATGTTCGTGTCTGTGCGTACGTCCGTCACACACGTTTCAGGACATGTCTCAGTGGCAAAGAGACAAAGGCAAGATCGTTGATATACCAAAGTAGCATGGCATCTAGTACTTAAACATTACCAAAGTAAAAAATTGTTCTGTGTTGTTGTACAAGGAAGAATATTGTCCCACTTGTACGTCCATCACCATGGAATTATAAATTGGACGCCTGAATCTTCCTTTTATCAGTGGAAGACTCATTCATTCATTAAAATATTGATGAGCGGTTGTTTTGTTTCTATAAATATACCTTTCATTCCCAGAAACTGCATTAAATGGTTATTTATTTAGTTATTAAACGAAGAATAAACCGAAATAAAACATACCAAAATTGTATTATATTATGTGATATATTACTGAAAACATCATTATATGAACAAGTATTTTTGTACCCCATCGGGTTATTGCGCGCAAGTAACTATTCAGTTAGATACAGTGGCGTAACTGGACGAGGTCTGATTTTAACATAGAAGTGAGACTTCTAGAAGTAGAATGTTGGCTTTCAGAAGAAAAAATCCCTGATAGACTATACTGATCCCAGGGTTAAGAGACCCCAGTTGCGAGGGTCGCGATTAGTCGAACTTAAATATTCCATTCCATCTGACGTCCGTTGTATCTATGACAGATTGGGTAATTAAAACACATTCTATAGCAGGGACTATATAGCTCTAGAATGGAAGGTCTGATGAGTACCAAAGGGAAACTCATCCAAGAACTTTTGATCCTTAACACATTGTTTAATTTCCATCTCATGAATCGGACAAAAATTGTCGCGTCTGGAAGGTTCACAAACTTCATTCATATTTCACATTTTCCGTGAAAGGCGGGGGCATAACTCCAGAACGGATGCGCACCAAACTAGAACTCGTCCATGCACTATAGTGATACTTAACACATGTTTTAAATTTTATCGAAATCAGAAATCTAGAGGGTCCACAACCTTTGTATTATATACTTTTACACTATTAGCATAAATAGCAGCGACCATTATTATGGTGCAACGGTTGACCGCTTTTACAATTATTAAAAATTGTGACCTCTAGAGAGGTCCGATATGCGCCAATATCGAAAGGAATCGAGATCTTTGGGTTATAAACATCCATTGTAAGGTTCATCAAATTGTGACCTCTAGAGTGTCTAGAGAGGTCCGATATGCGCCAATATCGAAAGGAATCGAGATCTTTGGGTTATAAACATCCATTGTAAAGTTCATCAAATTGTGACCTCTAAAGTGTCCACAACCTTGGTATTATTTATGTATATATCTGTCCTGTTAAGCAGGAAAGCAACATCGACTGAAGAGTTTTCATGGTAAGGGATTTAAAAAATAAGAATTAAAACTTCGCTCTCTGCTGAGTAATTTATCTAGCCAGAAATCGCTTAGAAAGCGTCTCCGACAATCTAGAATCTCTCCTAAAATCGTAGGGTGGTAGCCCCCCAAATCAACAACTGCTTCCGCTGGCCCTGTTATTAAGTGAAGATTAAACTGAAATAAACTATACTAATAGTGTATTATATTGTATAATTATACTACTGAAAACATCAATAAAGTGACAAAGCAACAATAAATAATACTTACGATTTCTTTATTTGTGTTGCCAGCAGCTGCGTTATAAAGGGACATTGCAACTAGTCAAGGTTGACACTGTATATTATTTCTTTTAGATAACATCGACCTGTTTCCAATGCGTCTTATAGACAAAACCTAAATATAAATAATAAACAAAATAGCTTATAGTCGTTTCGGAACGGGGTTTAATGTCCCGTGAATACAATTCTTCGGCCATTTTGAATGGGGATATGTGCAATACCAGGGCTTTGAATTAATCCCGGCGGTTATGCTCTGTCCGCGTCGACATACGAACCCTGGCTATGTTGGGATGGCCTAGTGGCCAAGAGTGTCACGCTTCCAACTCAGCTGGCCGGTTACCTCTGGCGTGCGGTCGTGATTTCGATCCCTGGTGTGAGCGTATGTGGCTTGGAGATAGAGACGCCTTCTCAACCTCGTGGCTTTACTCCGGCTACTCCGGTTTCACCCCACAGGAAAGACCCATGCGTGTGCGCTGAGCGTAGTAAAATAGAACTTGTCTGCGATATCACCCCCGGTGGAAGCGGACGTTAAACACTAATAGAAGAAGAAGATTTTGTCTACATGGCAATATCTGCCACAGTTCCTTTAATATCAACCAAATATTTGTAAAATGCTCAACCATGAATAAGAATTAATTAATCTCATGTTAAGCTCTAGTCGTTTTTATGCTCAGTGTCCCTTTAATATCAAAGAAAATGGTATTCGTGAAATGCAAAACATTAAACAAGACAAACAAACCAATATTAAGCTTCATTTGATATTTTTTCTCTGTTTGGGATAGTCGTATTCGGGATATATATTTTCTTGATTACTAATTACGCCTATAGTATCTGATACTGACTGGATCAGAATGAATTTACGGATATGTAAGAAACGAATAGGATACTCATCAGTTACATTATTAATATGTATGTGCGTTCTATTCGCGTGGTACTTAAGCACATCAGAATTATCCGACATCAAAAGAAATGGCGTTTCAGATTTAAAACATATAAACTATTTTAAAAGGAGGTTCGAAGATTCTGATAGAGTTGATTCTGGTAATTTAAAGGATGGGAACTATCTTAAAAGTAATAATTATGTCTCGGTGGAACATGGAGATCAAGTCCAAGACGTAAAACAAAGGCATTCGGCCATAGAAAGACACCACCCACTGTCATCAACGATACCAGTATATATTGTAGAGGAGCATCACGAAGGTATAATATTTTCAATATACATTTTCCCAAGGTTCTTAAATCAAACAGCCGTCGTCGCGTCGTGAATCCTGCAGAGTGTATTGGTTGCGCCAATGGGCATGTTGGTATATTCGATAAGCTATCGCGTCGGAGCCCACTACTTGCATGACCGCCCCTATTTATTAGACTGACCCTAGTAGACACAATTATGCATATTTTTAGTATTTTAAATGAGTTTCATTTTATGACCTGTCTTCATTAGTCCAGTCGGAGCAGGACCGTAGGGCGTTAAACCCCATTCATTACATTTCCATTTTATGATCCATGTCTAGGCTATCACATAAAAGAACAAAATATTCTAGTTCTGAGTCTTGCAGAATGTATGATAGTCTGCCTTTAATACGCGCGCCATATTATGATCCATGCGCATGTCTAGACTCTCACACGACCGTCCAAAATGGAGAATTCCGCATTCCGTCATAATCCGTCGGACGGTTTCACTAACCGGGCGTCTTTCATCGTGAACTGTTAGAAACCTCGCGACCAGTCAAATAGTCCGGCAGCCAAACCCCATTTTAAGCCATCCACACCCAACGAAACAATGAATGGGTGGTCACTAAAATATTATAATTTTAGTAAAAATTAAGGTTAGTAGTATATAGAGATGATTATGCTTAGGGGAATCAACTTGTAAAGATCGCATATACAAGCCGGTAGCTAGCCCAAAATTGTTGGGGGGGGGGGGTATAGGGTGCTCTCCCCCTAGAGAATTTTGGAAAATAGGGTTTGCACCCGAGGAGAGGAACTATGAAAATGACGGAAAATTTCAATTTTGAGACTGAATTTGTGATATTATCAAAATTTGAAGGAAGGAATACAACTTTAGCTTATCTATTATAATCTATGAGCAAAACGAAAAGTTCGGAATCGGGTTAGAGTGCGACTTGTTTGAATTTTGAAGATTATCACGCCGTTTTGCGCGCCGAATTCATTCATGGGCGCCTAATCAATCTCACTCGTCATTATGGGTGCCCCTCCAATGATACTATGCGTGCCCATGATCTCGTCGGGACGGCCCACCACTCTCGGCATTATAGACTGGGTCTATCAATATTCAAGGCTCAGTGAACTCCCCTGAAAACATTGTTAATGTGATAGAGGCTACAGTTTGCAACGAATTTATTTTCAAATTTGTTGTGAAGCATTAGAAGTGAGAGGACGAACCCTATCGATATTCAGCATTCCACGACGTTCTGGAGTTATCTCCCCGTTTCCGAAAACTATGTTAACAGATTTTAATATTCGTTTTTATTTTCAAATTTGGTGTGACTCACTGGGGTCATGGGCTTTTCAACTTACTCGACTTTCTGTTCCGGAGATACCTCTTCTTATCATGCTCTGTTTATATTTGTTTCTCAGGTACGCCAGCCACTATATGGTTTCGAATGTCCTATGATGATGTTGGGACTTTTCAGTAGATTCAATTCTGACAGAACTATTTAAGACAAATCCTCGCCATACTTGAGTTTAGTATTGCGTGCCCTAAAAGCGCATTAATTTATTAATGGAAACGGTAATAAACAAATACAGTACTGGCCAAATTAATAGCAATTTTTTCTAAAAACGTTGCAGAATTAACTCACTAAAATTAAAGTATGGATAAAATCATACACCGTGAATATATTGAACTGAATATTCTTACACATAACCATATTGACATCTACTTCACATTGCATGGTTGGTCGACGTAATTCATGACGTCGTAGCGGCTGATGACGTCATCGATGTCCGTCATGTTGGGTTTTTTTTTTGCCGTTTTTGGAATACAGTCATTAGGGAATTCTCTAATACAAGAACATCAGTTACGTTTTGGGGAAGATACAGGACAAGCACACTCAAAAAATAATGATTTCAATGGTCGTGCATGACGTCATTACGACTGTGTGACTCACAATGACGTCATCTCGCCGAAACAGGTGTTTTACGCCAAAACGATTCAACTTGTAAGTTGATTGATTTCCACGTTTTTGGTGTTTATTTATATCTTTTCTTGGGCGCCGAATCCAACTACGGCTTTTAAAATGTTCAAAATCGACGTAAATTGATTTTTTCAACGATAGTTGGTATACAACGATGAGCACATGAGCGAGTAGACTGTGGGAAAGTTACGACAACTCATTTCCAGGCGCCATTTTGGGTCCCAATTATGACGCCATAAAAGCTATGACGTCATGGTGAGGGTAACGTTTTACCCTAAAAAAAATGCAAAAGAAACCAATGCAGTTTGGTTCAGTGATAAATATATCAAACAAAATCATACCCAAAATCGGGGAATTTTCTGAGAGCGATATCTCGTAATCAGTGTGTTTTACTATTTACTCGTTGGATTATAAATGATTTCTTTTTAAATTCCTCAAACACAGAGTGGTTATGCAAGCGAAATGTGCCGAAAAATCGAATTTGACAAACATCAATTAAAAAAAAAGAAGCATTTTTTATATGGTGCCGGGCGTTTCTTTCATAATGGCCGCCAAATTTGGTAATATTATTATTATTATTAAAGCATATCTATAGCGCGCCCTTTCATAAAACATGTTCAGGGCACTTTTCTATCTTGTGGGTAGAAAACAGTGTATTTTAGTTAATTGGAAATCGTCGTCTGAATCTGTTTTGTCATCTGGGGTTCCCCAAGGTTCTGTTCTTGGTCCGATTTTATTTACCCTCTATACGTCACCATTAGGATATATTGTCAGAAAATATGGTCTCAGCTTTCATTTGTATGCCGATGATACTCAATTATATATTTCATTTAGACCTAATTGTCCATCTTCTTTCAATTTATCAAAATTGCAACTTGAGAACTGTATTAGTGAAATTAGAAAATGAATGTCAAAGAACTTTCTAAAATTGAATGATGATAAAACCGAATATTTGTTATTAGGCTCAAGGCATCAATTAAGTAAATCTGCACAAGATAACCCCCCTGTTGTAATTGGTAATTGTGATATATTTTCATCTTATTCTGCTCGTAAAATACGTAAATGTGTAACTGTAGAGGCCACTAAGTCACTTGTTAATTCTCTGGTCACTTCTCGATTGGTTTACCTTTAAAGCTTATAGATAAATTACAAAAAGTACAGAATACTGCGGATAGACTTGTTACTTTAACTAAGAAATGTGACCACATAACTCCTGTTTTATATAATTTACACTGGTTACCTGTTAAATATCGAATTGATTTTAAGATTTTATTACTTACTTTTAAATGTTTAAATAATTTAGCTCCTGTTTACCTCTCAGATCTTTTAGAACTTTATACACCTGGCCGAACATTACGTACATCAGATAAACTACTTTTAAAGCCCAAAACTGTTCAACTAGTCTCTTATGGTCAGCGCTCTTTTAGTTATCAAGCACCTGTTTTATGGAATAATCTACCATTTAGTTTAAGATGTTGTACATCTCTATATTCTTTTAAAAAACAACTTAAAACACATTTATTTAATCAGGCTTTTAACTGACTCTGTATACAATCGTTAACATGCCCATAATCTTGTTGTTAATGTGTGATTTACATTGTCACTTTGTAAAGTGCCCCTGAACATGTTATATGAAAGGGTGCACTATAAATATGCTGTAATAATAATAATAATAATAATAATAATTTTCAAAGTGACAATGTAATCATAAATAAACAACAAGATTATGGACATGTTAACAATTGTATACAGAGTCAGTTAAAAGCCTCATTAAATAAATGTGATTTAAGGGTTTTTTTAAAACAATATAGAGATGTACAACATCTTAAACTAAATGGTAGATTATCCCATAAAACAGGTGCTTGATAACTAAAAGAGCGCTGACCATAGGAGACTAGTTGAACAGTTTTGGGCTTTAAAAGTAGTTTATCTGATGTACGTAATGTTCGGCCATTATATCGTGGTTATGTACGCGAAATGTGCGGAAATCGAATTTGACAAACATCAATTAAAGAAATGTATTTTCCATGTGGTGCCGGGCATTTCTTTTAAAATGGCTGCCGAATTTGGTAACAAAGGCAATTTAACAAAAAACCCATAAATTTGGTAGACTAAAAGGGCATCTGTTAAGATACGTAAGATATGACTTTTGCTATGTCCTTTATATGGTTTTCGATGTCTCTGAATTTGAAGATAAATTTCGAAAATACAAAATAGCAGCAACACAAATTGGCGGATATTAAATTAATCGTCATTTTTCCTGTGGGATATTAGATAGTGTCTCTAAAGCATGATGTATACTGTAGTTCGATGTACCCTGTAGTTCAGATACAGTCTCCAAACCGTGTTTACACTGTAGTTTGGGTGTAGTTCGTCAAATGAAGATGAATTTTACGATATATCCATCCTGAAATAACAAAAGAATAAATATATTGTAAACGCGCTTTAAATATCTGGATGCGATAGACTTCGTGATAAAAAATTCAAGGTACATTATATCATTGGCAATAATAAGATCCAATTTTAGTTTTTAGTTACACACTGTTAACCACCAATAGATGTTTTAATGACAATAAATCCTAAAATGTATTCAGCTCGACGTAAGACTTAAATACAGATATAGATACAGTTGGTTTAACTTGAATATAAATTTTAATTATCAATGCATATATCACATTACAGTCGAATCACATTACATATCTTTTTAGTTGATGTTCATATCGTCTTACGTATTTGTCAACATCAAGGTGAACTTGCTCTATTGTCCGATTAGCCTATTCAGACTTGTTACAATGAATTTACTCACCCCACCCTCGCATAGTTATGAATTTATTGTTTCACTTGACTAAAGAAACATTTTGTAGGAATGTATGCTTTTATAGATTGAAAACTTGTTTGCGATATCATTGTCGGTGGAAACTGTCACTATACCTAAAAAATGATTGAACAAATAGCGGAGACGGGGTTTCAGCCGGCTGATTTAAATTATTTCTTTAAATACAGTAAAGCTTGAAATATGTCAGTTTTCACTCTTTAGAATGTTTTTGTAAATAAGTTTTTATTGTAGTTTCCGTGGCGTATTCCCAATAAGCGTTAGAAACAAAGATATATACCCTTATATCCCGGTGTCGATAAATGTTGGATTGTGTGGAACATGCTAACAAATCTCAGGTACGATATATGTTTGATTCTGGTTGAGAACAGCATGAGAGCAACATGATTGTTTTCATTGGAGTTTAGACGCAAATATTCAAAGGGGTCAGACAAACTCTAAACCAACCGCGTTCCTTTCACTGAGTCCCTTCAAAGGAGGCCCTGTCTGTCTACCTGTGGAATAACATGCATTTGTATCTGTTAAATTTGTGTGGTAGACAGATTGATATTATTTATACATAGGCGGGGAGTGATAACGTCTTACCCCAAACAAATTGCAAAAGAAACCACGAAGTTTCTGAGAGCGATATTTCGTAATTAGTGTGTTTTAATGGTGGGGGAATAAATAATTTCTTTTTAAATTTTTCAAACACAAACTGGTCATAGAGGCGAAATGTGCCGAAAACCGAATTTGACAAAAATCAAAAAATGTATTTTTCACATGTATGGCGCCGGGCATTTCTTTCAAAATGACTGTCAAATTTAAAATAGCATTTTCCGACAAGACCAGCGATAATCTCGTAAGATAAGACTTTTACTATGTCTTTTAAATGGTTTTCGACGTCGTGAAACGCACCGTCGGGGGATTTGTTGGGGCCTGTCTCCCCCAGAAAATTTATAGAAATTTCAAGTCGGTCTTGCCAGGCCGTGAATACGGCAACCTGAAAGTGGTCGATTTTAATGTAGACATCTGAACTCCAATCAATAAATCAATCAACCAGGCTGTTGTCGTTGCATTCACATGACACCAGACGTGTCACCGATGAAACAAATATGCCTGAAACAAATGTCGCTGTTAGTGCGACCCATTTGTGACAATTTCTAGGTCCCAAATATTAGCGATTTAGCTCCTTTAAAGCGAATGCAAGTTAAATATGTTTAATAGTACTTTTATCTAGTGTATCTTTTATTTTGATTTTTCTTATAGAATAAGGCTATATAACAATAATGTGCGCTTCTTGTTGTATAATACTAATAATAGTATGTTCAGCTATACTTTTCGTTTAAAAAATGTATGTTTTATGTCCTATAGACACTTATTCGCTGAAATCTATGACATCCAACAATATAATAGGGCATATAAATAGATAATAAGTTTGCATGACGTCATATGAAATTCCTGGCTTCACAGTTGTCGCAACTTTATCTATACACGGCGTTCCGTCGACCAACCATGCAATGTGAAGTAGATGTCAATATGGTTATGTGTAAGAATATTCAGTTCAATATATTCACGGTGTATGATTTTATTCATACTTCAATTTTAGTGAGTTAATTCTGCAACGTTTTTAGAAAAAATTGCTATTAATTTGGCCAGTACTGTAATTCCCTTCAACAGATATTGCTACATATATCCACATTATAGATATATAGGTTTTTATAGAGCACTAGGTACCAGCCCTCATTTAACCTGTTCACACATCTTACAAATTTATTGTACTTTAACAATTTCCAGTGGTTGCAAAGTGGACATGAAGGTCTCATTTAGTACTTTCGGAGACACACAATTGTTCTCAATTGTACATTTACATGCCGTCAACACCACTGTTTCCACCTGTAAACATTGTTTATTTCAGTAATACCATATTGGTTTATGGCGGCCAAGGATGGAAGATTACCAACTCGTGGCAATGTAATGGTATGTTCCCGATTGTCTTTATTCAGGGTCAATAGAACAGGCCTAATGCTTTTATATGGAAGAGGTTTGACTCTTCGACTTAAGTTCAAACGTTCCCTGTTTTCAGGTTGATGTTGATTGGGTCGTGTGTGGCCCCAATAGTTATTTAGTATACGATGTTTCTACCTAAAACGATGGACCGACGATACCTTTTAAGGCCTTAGTAACTGTAATAACGGGAGTCGGCAAGACACACACAGATATAATAATGAGGTTTCAAGTCAACCGAAGACAAATCGTTTTTTTCTGTGAGATTATGTCTAAGTATATGCATTTATATATAGGACGTTTTCGAGTTTGCCCTCTTTCTTTACATTTAATTTGCATGTCTAACCCATCAAGTGACCTGAGAAATCCGGGACTGCTTAGTTAAAGATTATCCGAGATTCGATAACGAGTTGGCAGTTCTCACTATAATAGTAAAAACTAGATAATGTAAAGACAATTTGCTGATAATTTCATTCAAATTGATCCACTATGAACCGATAACTAAGCGATTGAAATTTCCGCATAGCCTCGATCATCATTAATAAAGTCAGTACGATAAACAGCATAGTCGTGATTATCCACTTAATCGTTAAATCGCGAAGGAAAGTTATGCAGTAAATCGGCTTATAATCCACTAAAGATCACAGGCTAGCGATGCCATCTGGAGTTGATTATGGTCTGGATAAGTTAATTAATGTCTAATTAATAATTTAGATAACATTTCAGGCCTAAAGAAAGACCTGCAAAAGACAGATTTAGCTCTTGCAAAATGTTTTTACGCTCTTCTACTTATGATGTTCACCGGCCAATTTTACCGGATGGCTTATTACGCTGAAGTTTTGAATCTTTCAAATTTGAGTTTGCTTATGCTGATTCTAAGCAATACTACTTTCTAATAGGACACGCGTAATTCGAATTATCGTACCACCTCTTTTTGTTTTCCTAGGTTCATATAGATGGCCACCCGGATACCTCAATACCAAAATACCCTATAGGTGCCAAAATATTTCAACATCCCAAAACGGAACATCTTTATAAACAGATGATGATGAGCAATGACCAGTTCATAATGGTGAGTTAGTAGGTAATGCTATATGTAGCTGGAATGTAATGCGTAGAGCAGTGTAGTACTGTGAACTCCTTGATTTCTATGACCTATGATGAAACCAGTCCAAACCCTGTTCAACTCCTTGACACATTTCACAGACGCCTCCTGCCCGTAGGGAACGAATCAAAATACAAAATGAAATCCACACCATTTAACAATTTCACTGAAGTTTTGTTTTTATTTCAGCCGTCAGTGTTTTCTGGATTCATTTCAAGAATGATATGGATTTACCCATCTTGGAACAATGATTTTGGTAAAGATAGAAATGTTTTGATAGGGTTCGGCTATGCTTTTAATCGTACTTATAAAGATGAATTCCCACTCTGCGTTTGTTACGATCAAATGGAATGCCACCATGTAAATAGAGAAGAGTATTCATATCAGTATCCCCATATACTTCAAACTGATTGCGCGATAAAACAGATAGTTATATCCGAGGAAATATCAGATGCCAAAGCTGAGGAACTATCCCAATCTGGAGATTGGATTCCATCAACAGATAACGTCTTCTTTGATATCGACGAAGATTATTATGGTTGTCAAGCTGCGGTACAACCATTATTGGATGTAAAAATAAGCGAGGATTACATAGATGACAGTTTGGTTCCTGCCATTATGAACATATTTTGTCCAAGAGATGCTAAATCAGAGCAAGGTGTGGATAAGATTTATTATAATTTACTACATCGTCTATCTGATAGATCTTCTGGGAAGAAACTACGGACTGAACAACGAAATGAAATCGTGGAACACACTCTACAGGACATAAAGAAGGGTAATTTAATGTCAGAATTATGTAACCCGTCGACTGTAGATCATGAACTAAAGGGGTTAATTGAAACTTTGAGTATTTTGGATAAACAACAATTAAAGGCTTTGGCTGATTTAGGCATTTGTCTACAGACCACGCCACGAGCGTACAGCTTCAACCGCATGGATGGCATGAAACTGTGCGATGGTAACAATCGACCTGGTAACGGAAGTGCCGTATTCTTTTATACTCCTACTTTGAATGAAATAAACAAACGGACAGATCAGTTATATGTTATATTGAGAACACTTCCGGAGCCGAAATTTGTCAGTTTGTGTCGATCTTCGAGAGATGGATATGTTCCTGGTCAATTTGTATCTAAAATAGAGACGGATATTATTCAGACTCTTGGTAAAGTGTTTCCTAATATAACGGAAAGCTCCGTACATTATGATGCTGAATTACACGGTGGACCAAAAGGCTGGTACAACAGACATCCTGAAACCCCTTGGTAAAAATATTAGAGCAGTGAATTATGTCAATAAACTCGGTGCTCGTATTAAAAAAACATTAATGAAATAATTAATTTTACAGAATCTCCACAAGCAGTAGCTAAAATATTCGTCTGTGAATGAGGATAAAATGTTCACAATAAGTGGTGTATCAAGACGGCCTGCCTCGAAAAATTTCGAAAACGAGAAGCCCAGAAATGCCATGTGATATGAGACAAGAATCCGGTTCTAAACTAATGAACCTCGGTTCAGGTAGAGACAGTCAGTAGGAATAATTTCTTCGAGAACTCATGAAAAGCACAAAGAGACAAAATTCGGAAAATTAGTTTATTAAAACACCTGACTCCACGCTCCCCTTCCTTCCCCCACTAGATCCGGCCTTGTTTATAATATACCACATGTTACGTCTACAGGTAAACTTTGTCAGCAGTGAAATAAACCATAGTAATTGTCATTCCATAAAAAAAATATTAATTGATTATTTCCCAATTACTAACTACCATTTAAAGAATATATAAAGCCGGTGTTCAGATCTGGCAGATGGTGTGTTTCACTGTACTGTTAACACAGTAAGGACCAACTAACAGAAAGTTTAACGTTTTTTGATGACCTCGTGTGAGCAAAGTTGCCCCCTCTGTCAGCGTTCCTGAGATTGAAATGCTATTAAATAATACGTGGGTTAGATTAACTGTTAGCACCTTAGTTATGCTTATATAATTACGAGGATATTTTTTACAAGGATATTAAGAAACTGGATGGATTCAGTTAGATTCCATGGCATGGGGCTGATTTATGGTATTTCAAAAATCGAACTGTTCAAAGATATAAGGTCTGAGTAGTGTTTGGGGTCAAAATATCTACCTGGAGAAGACTGTATGTTGCTTAAATAAATTGTGCGTACATTGAACTCAGACGGTATACATCCGTGTGGTATAGTAGTGAATTCATTACTGAAAATCTGCTATTCTTTAATTGGTTGCAACTAGTGCTGATCAGATATCTTCAGAATTGGACATTGATGCTTGACATGCTTGGTTTGTTGTTGAATAGTCCGAGATAGGGTATGAGGAAATCTAACGCCAGCTTTGGAAGGGAAGATACATGGATTTATCTACCTCTGCTGCGTTACAACAAAGATGTGGATTAATTTTGGACGGAACAATAACTGATGGCCAACCTATATGAAACGAATATGAATTACTTTATACATTACGTAAGATTTGGATAAAGAACTGGTAATAGGTAATGCAAAATAAATATATTGAAAATTTCATTCAAATTATCAGTGTTTGTAGTTTTGACAAGCTGTGTTAATTGGTTGTTTATTATCGTGCTGGTTATTCGAGGCTTAGCCTGCTTCCCAATTTTTAAAACTAAATCATTAAGTGGCCGAACCGGTCTAATCTACTTAAAATCGGAGCCATCCGATGGCACCCAGAGTTGATTATGGTCTTGTCATGTTAATTAATAATTTATATAAAATTTAAAGCCTAAACAAAGGCCTACAATAGGCATAATGATTGATGATACTATGTTTTATTCATATTACATGGTGGTGTTTCAGAGAGGATATATAGATGATGCTGTTTCATGTAATATTGTGACAATATCAATATGAAGATCAGTCATTTACCAGAGCGTTTCCAGGGATAGGTAGCTTTCCCTCTTTGGCAGTCTTCAACAAGTAAGGGATTACTGAAAAAGCGAAAAAATGTTTTAGAAATATAATTTACCAACTCCGTGATGGTTAAATCTTTATTAACTGTAATTCTGTTCAATGGTAATTGGACCCATTCATAGTTTGAAAGAAACCAGTAATATGCGTGCAAATGCGTATTGAGTCATGGGGTCTTATAATGTGACTGGAATTTTCTCGAGCTGTGTTCACGTTTAACGGCGACCTTGTGCGGTCGCAGCAGTGCAATAAGAACGCCACCCCGGTCTGATGGGGGCTTTACAAAATTTATAGAAATTCTCTCAGTGTCTGCTTAGAATCCCGGCGTTAATGGTACGAAAGATGAACGTTACGTTATTTTCTACCTGAATAAATACTACCGATTACAACGCAATAAGTAATACAGGAAATTAATTGTAAAACATTAGTGGTACCCAGCGGTCGTCATCTTATATTTGTAAATTTATATAAAAACGAAGACAAGAACATGCTGCAAACAATACTACTGCCTATTCGCAGCTAACTTCAAATATGTAGATGGGAATCTGTTTAAAAATAAATCCTGCCTTGTTTCTCATGGTAGTATAATTGTTTGTCGAAATAGAATAACATCACAATATCCAATTTTATAAACGAATTTAACGCATTAAACTTTATTATATGACAGTCGTGGAAAACACGAATAAGAAATACGAAAAGGATAAAAATGATCAAAGCTGGCGATGAAAATAAAAGTTTGAGGCCAGCTACGCTCGGCGTCATTGTCTTTGGTTCAATCTCTATCCACTAACTTTTAAAATCACCATTACGTGTCTGCTACGACATTGTATTCTGGTTAAAAGAAGTCATTCTAATCTCACTTAACTTTAAGGTACCTCCCATGGGTCACTTAAAGTTAAGTGGATTTTTCTCACTTAAACTTGCCATTGAATACCACTAAATTGACTAAACACTCAAAAGTTAAGGTAGCTTAACTTGAGGGAAAACTTTATATTTAACATTGCCTTTGAGGGAAGATTCTATACACTGATTTTGGTATCAACAATAATTTTAGTCTACATCTCACATAAGGCCATGTGTTGTCAAATTACAAAATAGTGTTCTTTGGTTATTTGTGTTGTTAACTACTCCATTTTGATAGTCTTCATAATTTCAAAGAATTAAACCATGGATTTGAACAATTCTGTTGCTACTAATCCAAACTAGCATCAGTCTGTGTGATATTTTGAAGGTATTTAACATCTCGAACATGGGACTTGAAGAATTAGCCAGACACATGGGATATGAATTATCAGTTCACAGACATTTTCACCGACTTCAAGAAGATGTAACTGAATTGGCGAAAGTCAGGAAAGTGTTACTAGGGGTTGAAAATGGCAATTGTCATGTCTTCAGTGGTATGAAACTAGATAAATTCACACTTGATGAAAAGATAGACAGAACGTGATTGTGGTAAATATGCATTTTAATAGGTATCCTTTACAGCTGCATACTATTGATTTCTGGCATCCTCTGTTTCTTTGGTTGAGTCTTGAGTGTGCATGGTAGTGGAGTGGCTAATGTAATTACATGTATGTATTACTTGTAGATTGTGACCAAGGCACGATTCTCTATATTTCATGAAAAAGAGGGTTTAAATTATGTACTAACACATATGATCTGTTGCATGGATTGTGTATTACATTGTTCGAGTGATAAGTTAGTGCTTGTTGTCAAGGGGGGGGGGGGATTCGGTAAAATATGCCTTTATTGTTGGGACATGGCCACAAATGACGGTGTAAATAACGTCTACCAATACCACTAGATAAGGACCGGTTTTCTTACTATAATATTACAGAGTTCTTGTTGTGAGAACCCAATGTCTTTAGAATTAGTAGGACAAGTGACATATGTCCCCCACAACGAAACAACCGCATCTTCGCCAGGAATACATTATGAGAGAACCCAATGTCTCGAGTATTATTAGGACATAATATAAAAGAACCTATGACAGTTGGAATTCGAATTAATTGTACGCCGTAGTGTCGCTGCCCGGGCAAAATTACTATCATGGAACATTACATGGCGTATGCCAGTTTTTATTAGCCCAGTCGGAGCAGAACAGTAAAACTTTAAAGCCCATTCATTTTATTTTATTTTCAATTGAATTTAATTGTAGAATGATTATAAATATTTATGTGGATGTATTTACAAGAAGCAGTTTACAATTTTATGAATTTTTAGGGAATGAGGACAGTGGTGAATCACGGAAAGTAGAATAAACTCTGGTCGAATAGTGTTGAATTGTAACATAGCTTGGGCATATTCTGTCAAGTCGGAAAATGCACATAAAAGTCTTTTATTCCATAGTATTACATTTGTATCTGAAAAATGTCACAGTATAGTCAATTCGTTTCCCCGACATAAAGATAATGTTGGCGTGAGAGAGAAGCTGTATAATTTGAAATCTAACATCAAACGGGTACAAGGACTTAACCGAAAAAGAAATATCGGCAGCGCCATGCCCGTTGAGCAATCAGAAAATTTTGATATCGTGGTTCAACCCTATGACGTACGCTTCAACGATGTCTCGCAGACGGGCGTAGAAAATTTATCGCAGGTGCCGAATGCTAAAATTAATCATGTCAGGTCACATAGGCGAACATTGTCAAAGACGGGAACCGATAAAGTTAGGGATGTATATTGTAATGAACTTTTAATAAATTATAATCTCCGTCATACGTTATTAATTAATCATACAACAAATAAATAAGTTCTCAAAAGATGGTGTGTATATTTATTGGACGTTAAACTCCATTTAATTTAACTGTTTCTGCCGTTCTACTCTTCAAAAGTTTGGCTGATAAGTTACGTTTATTGTATGAATCTAAATTCTTCATCCTTTTCTCATTTCAGTGAAAACGAATGCCGCCCAATAATCAGAAGAAAAGCAATCACTGGATGAAATGTAAAGCCTGGTCCTCTGTTTGCGGGGAGTTTTTTTTAGGGTTAGGTTTTTCCGGTGTTTTCCAGAGGAACAGCGGTGGATTAGGGTTAGGATTAACGTTAGGTTTTCCCGGTGTTTTCCAGAGGACCAGGCTCCGAGTTACCTATTTAGGGTGTTTTCCGGTATTTAGTGTGTTTTCCGGTATTTAGTGTGTTTCCGGTATTTAGTGTTTTTCTGGTATTCAGTATAACATGGTGTTTTCCGGTGTGTTACGGTATATAGTATAGCCCATTGGTCACTGCAAGTGAAAAATTGGTGCTTGTGGTCAAAGGGGGTATAATTTGATGAAATGTCTTCGTTGTTGGGACATGGCCACAGACCACAACCAGTAGATAAGGGAGGCTTTTTCTAATTATAATATACTATACAGCAAAAAAAAACCGTCAGTACGATTTCAAAATCAGAGCGGCACTTTAATCAAAACATTCTAGAAAACGACTTACTAAATGGATCAAAGCAATTTTTTGTGAACAGAATGTTGACACATTAGTGATTAATTCATCACAATAGCAAGACATTACGAGAAGGTTTAGAGTCTGTACACAGTCAGTACATCAGTATCTGGTGTGTCCACCGCGAGTGTCAACAACAGCAGCGCAGCGTCTGTACATGGAGTGGACCAGCCGATTGATGAACGCCATTGGCACCTGAAACCACACTCTCAGAAACGCCTGGCGCAATCCATCGGCTGGCTGTGTTTGGTCTCGGTACGACGTTATTAACGATTGATTGGTTGTTTGGGATTTAGATAAGTCACCTATAGTAGACTATATTGAACTTGAGCTGGACTGTAAACGATTTATTGGTTGGTTGGAATTCGAGTCAGTTACATAAGTAAGGCTATATTAGACAACTTTTAAGTTGTTGTATTCAGGGTCTGGAATAGCAGGAAAACGTGTTTGCGGCCATCAAATTTTCCGGTCATTCGCCTCACGCAGACCACCGACACCGCCGTCTGTAACCCGAAGTGTTTTCAGGGAATTTCAGGTTCTGCCCTCCCTACCTCCCAACATTCATCGAGTCCGTACGCCTATACTCTCGCGCGAGTTTAAACAGATAGAAAAGGGACGAAACTACATGAGATGACATGAGAACCGTTATAATCAACTAAATGAAAAGTAAAATCGCCGAGTTTTAACCAAAGTTCATAAGAAGTCAAACGCGTAAATAATATGCATATTTTGGCCGAATGTTTGCTGCGGGCAGTGCACATCACGAACCAGTCCGTGACTGAATAGTTTTCATTTAAGTATTTGTCATTAGAGATGTATCATGCATCAGTAGGTTTAGTTTTTATTAGCACACATATTTGAGGCTGTGGACAACCTTACCTTTATGCATATGAATGAATCACCTCGATCATTTTACTATTTGCATACCTTGAGTGAATACAAACTCGCGTGTATCCTAACCAGTTTTTGTATTAACTCCTTTATTTACTATTTTGGAGGATCTTGGGATATTAAAAACAGAGTCACTCTTCCGTGTTTCGATTTTTATTGTACCTTGTGTGTAGTAGCAGGATTTCAAACTCGGATCGTTTGATCACATTCTGTGAAACCGCACCTGGGGGCGAATCTTCCACTTTAGGATCAAATGACCATAAAATAAGTGAGGGGGCGTTCCAATTTCATAAAAATATGTTCAAACGACTCCAAGTTCCACGTAACTGTTAACGCGACTTTTAAAAGCCGCGATAATAGACTTCGGTGCAGCCTTCGCCTGTGGCGGCTTTCAAGAGATGGCTCATAACCCCCGTTTGAGTATAGTCCAGGCAAGATAGCATAAGTGCGGGCAGTTGCTCTATTACAACAGTAAACAGTAGAACTCGCAACACCTATTTTTTTGGACATGCCAAGACAAGACAAATGAGGACTGGACATTAATCTAGTTGTATTTAACAAATCAACCTAGAAGCTGGTGTCCCTAAATAGATGACACTCGTTAATTACTTGCACATCTAACATATTTATAAAACATCTAGCATTGAAATTGGTCATCACTCTGTGCAACCCAAGTAAAAAATCTCATTGAAGGTGCGTGCTGGGCAGGTAGTCAATCGCCTACCCTGCCCTCATAAATGCAATGCAAAAACAAAAGAAACTGGAAATGGTTGATAAAGATCGAAACCGATAAGATTTCCTATCAGGGTATAGGGGAGGGAGAGGGGGTGGCTATGTGCCCTCGAATTTCGACAGAGTTACCTTAAATACTCAAGTAAATCCCCACCCTAATGAAAACATTGTGCCCCCTTTTTCTGTTGCCCTTCCCTTGTTCCAACCAAATCCAGAGATATTACAAGACAATCGCACTCAATGTACGTACAGAATATGTCTGTTTATCATAGATGATTTAAAACAAGCCCAATCAGACCCTGATTTCCACGGATGGCTTCCAGAATAGATTTCACAGTCGGATTAATGTTTCCATAATATTCAGAATCAACTAATTTGTCTTAGTTTTATTTATTTATCTAAATGAATTTATTGCAACACGGGCGACGGGAGCGTTTTTGCCGGTTAGCATACTCAAGGCCAATATGCTAACCTTCACCACAAACTCTATTGACATTTAATCTGTCACCAGTAACTTCCTTGGTCTGGCTTAAGGTGTATCTTGATCTTCTTCTCGTTCTTGGGGTTGTCAGTTTACTTTCAAAAGAATATTTTATTTCTTTATATCTGTAATATATATATAAAAATGTAGCCGATGAATTAAATAGAAATAGGCCAGAGGCCAATTTGCAACACGAAAGAAAATGTTAACGTGAAACACGTGGTTATCAAAAGGCTCCACCAAACGATAAAACATTAGCTGCACTAACGGTTCTTTGATAATCATCGTTTCGCGTAAAAGTAATAATTGTTGGGGTTTTTTTTTAAAAAAAAGAAGAATAATATGAAGTAAATACCGTATTTACACGACATGCACTGTTTTTAAAGGTCCCTAGAAATTGTTAACGATAATCCGTAAGCCACACGTTGACATTCATTCCTCGACAAACTTGCATAGCAGTACCAATCGATAAATTAGTGCGTACAAAGAAAATTCTTATAGGAAAATATAAGAGATAATATAAGTGAGATAATTAAAGCTGATTAACCGATAATTCCGATGTTAATGTAGTATGTGCAAAGAAACCTTACGTTTCTTTGTTGGATGAGGAAAAACGTGAGTTGTCAATCTTCGATAATGGCGGCCGTGTGTAGATTGCAATTATTCCGTTTCACGTAAAACCCAGTTAATTACTAAGATGAAAAAAATGTGTCGGAAATGGAATCAGCTGCCTCCAAAACGTATATTTTGACACCACATGTGGTGGTCACTTTGTAAAATTCGAATTTTCCCGCCATCTTGAATTATTTTCCAATATTGACTCGGCGGTATAACTAATCATGAAAATATGTATGGAAATGGGTTCAGCTACCCCAAACGGATATATTTTGATACCAAACGCGATCATTTTCCGGTCAAAACTGGCGGCCATTTTGGATTTTTGTCAATTTGATCCATTTGGGCACGGATTTCGGACTGACTTTTTTTTGGGTGATAATATAGGTCTATACCAATCGTAAACCGTGGTCGGCATTTCTATTGCAGTAACTGCTCGGAATGGTGCGAAATTGAGTTAAAATGCCTTGACTAGTATGACAAACGCACAGGTTCACACACCCCAATCCATATCACTCCGAAGCCAAAAAAAAAATGTTTTCCTGTAGAGGTTTTTAGGCTAATCAAAGGTTCATAAGCGTGTATTATGAATTAGTCTATAACAGTGATATTAAAATAAATACATTTCTTTATTATAGATATAAACTCCTACAACATGACAGCCACAGAGTACATGAGGGTTGGCTGGTCTAGTGGTTTAATGCGTGTGCATGAAATCAAAAGGTCTGCCATTGACTCAAGAGGCGTGGTTTCGATTCCCCGCTTGAACGTGAGAAGGTGTAGGGTCGCCTTTTCAACCTCGTGGGTTTTCACCGGGTCCTCCCCGGTTTCCTCCCACAAAGTTAGTCCCGAAATGACCTAGGTTGTTTGTACTTGACGTTAAACCCCATTTCTTTCTCTCCCTCCACAGATTGCACAACCTTGACATCAACTTGTGGCATTAAAGGTGGACACTACACTAATACCGAAGCTTGCAGGTAAAGTGCATATAGTCATTCATTTTATAATTCGAATGTGAAGTCGAAAAATCCACAATCCGACAATTATTGGGGTTGATCGTCCATCTTGTCTGCTCCATGGAATGCACCATGATAAGCCAAGCAGTGTGTTATGACGGACATTTTGCCCGACAGCGCCGTTACGGCCTACTCTTTTTTCGAATTCAAACTGTCAATGGTTCTTATACGTTAAGTCATTCTTTTGATTCCTCGCTTGTGCTTGACAATGAGTAGGCTCCAACATCGTGGGTTTCTCCGGGTCCTCGGGTTTTCTCCCACTACTAAAGAACCTTACGCGCAAGTGAATTATTGAAATAAGATCGAACCATATGTTAGTCTGGAATGACCTAGTTTGTGTCGGGTGGACGTTAAACCACATTTCATTTCATGGTCAGTTCAACTCCTACAGTAGTAGATCTTTGGATGACGCATTGCATGAAAGGTTCCCACATGAACGCTGAGAAGGCTCTTGTTAACTGCGTATACAATGGCTAGATTTAATTGTTTGTGAACAATATTTACACTGATAGCTGTAGAAGCATTAGCCCATTCTATGAAAACAAACCCTGATATTTGTTTTAAGCTCCCGGTAAGTGCTCAGTTCAAAATCAAAACAAATTATAATATTTGTTTTGCTCCTGGTAAGTGCCCAGTTTAAAATAAGAATGTTATTAGTTATTAAAATTGTATTGTAGGTTGATTAGAAATTATAAAGCATGTTTGGTAAATGCTGATTGCTTCAGTGGAATTTACAAGTCTTCTTTTGAAGATTATGTAAGGAACCACCCACACATCGATTGTGGTGAGTATACGCGTCTCATTTTATGCCTACACTATAATTAAAAATAGAAGGTATAGTTATCCAAAACTTGGTGCGAACTACTACTTTCTTCAAACTAGACTACATATTGTTAATCCGTTACTATAACGGTCTCGGTTTCATTATTATAAATACTTTTAATTACCAAGAAAGGAATTCTCATTTGTTTACGATTTATGCCAACAAAATGATTATTTAACAATTTAACACATAATCAGAAATGAATGAAATGCGGTTAAATGCCTTATTTGTATGCACCCATCGGCTACTGAAGACAAAATGTATTTAAACATGCATTATGCAAGAGCTAAATCTGCCTATTGCGGGTCTTTCTTTAGGCCTTAAATGTTATCTAAATTAATAATTAGACATTGATTAACTTACCAAGAGCGTAGAAAGAGAAAATGCTATGGCAACAAAATCAGCTTTGATACTCGCAAACAAAAATGAACAATATTCTCGGAAAAAAAATATAAAAATTTACGGTGTGAGAGAGGCGAGAAACGAGGACTTAAAATCAAAATTCCTTAAACTTGCTCATGACTGTGCCGGTCTTAAGATTCCAATTATGGAAATAAATGCCATTCATAGAATACCATCAAAACATCCAGATAAACCTCGCCCAATCATATTAAAGGTACTAACAACATATGCAAAAACAGTATTAATGAGAAATCGTAAATACTTCAAAGAGCAAGGTGTTATCCTGCTAGATGACGTCACAACCAGAAACGTAGAGGTCATAAATAGACTCAAATCACATGAAGAAATAGAAAATGCATGGTATTTTAACGGAAATGTTCGTGGTGAGACATATGACAAAAAACGTATTATTTTCAATTTATATGATGACATAAATGAAACCCTTTTCAAGATTAAACCTGCCACTAATAACAGTAGTCAAGAAACAGTGCGTTAGATAACTGTGAAAAATGCGTATGACTCTATGCCCAGTGTAATATACTAACGTAGTTATTCAAAACCGTTCTAGTTTAAAGCGTTTAAATGACACCTTTACACAAACGAAAATCAGTCAAGACATCAGTGTGCCTATTCCAACATTACGATATATGTTTGCAATCTGTGTACATGTGTATAACTTTATGACATTTATACGTTTATGTTTTCAGCATTTTCATTCAAAACTATTTACAACTAATTTATACAAACTACATGGACTTATCAGTACAACTCAATATTTACTTTATTTTGAATTAGACATATTTGAAATTATAACGATTGGTCATTGTTTGTTACAATGGTACAAATTATTAGTATGAACAGTAGAGGGTTGAGGGATAGCTTAAAACGGAAAGATCTGTTTAATTATTTAGCAGAAAAGAAATACTCAATATGTTGTCTACAAGACACACATCTTTTGAACTCTGATTTTAAAAAAATGCATTCAGAATGGGATGGCGACATTATTTTAGGTGAAGGAAAAAACAATGCAAGAGGGGTCTGTATACTTCTAAATAATAACTTTGAATATGAGATAAAACGAAAACACATAGGTCAAGACGGTAATATTATAGCGGTTGAACTGCTTTTAGAAAAGGTAATTACTTTGAATTTAATTACAATATATGGTCCAAATAGAGATACTCCTGATTTTTATTGTAAACTGAAAAAGCTAATACGAGAATTTGACTCAGAATTTAAAATCATTTGTGGCGATTTTAACCTTGTCCTTAATTATGATCTTGATTGTTTTAATTATGTTAAATATAACAACATAAAGGCAAGAAAAGAAGTATTAGATTTAATGAATGATGAAAATCTTTCAGATGTTTGGCGGGTATATTCTCCAAATAAGAAAAGTTATACATGGCGCAGAAAAAACCCAACAAAAAAGGCCAGATTAGATTTTTTTTTAATTTCCGAAGAGTTGATAAGTTTAATAGATAAACCAGGTTACAGAACCGATCATTCTGTAGTTTTCTTGAATATAAGAACTAGTTCATTCGAGAGGGGCAGGGGATTTTGGAGATTTAATAATACACTTCTCGAAGATGTTGAATATGTTAGAATAGTCAAAAATACGATTCTAGACACAAAAAAAGAATATGCCGCATTACCTTATGCGAGAGATAAAATAGGTCTTATTAAAGATAGTGACCTTTCATTTGTGATTAACGATCAATTATTTTTCGTAATGTTGCTACTCAATATAAGGTCAAAAACTATATCCTACAGTGTATTTAAGAAGCGAAAAGAAAAAGAACAAAAGCAGTTTTTGGAAAAACAGTTACTCTTTCTGCATGATTTTCTTCAGGATAAAGATGACACGTTTTTAAATGAAATTTACCATGATTATTTAAATCAACAAGAACGTTTAAGAGAGAAATACATTAAAGGATTGATTTTAAGATCAAATGCTACATATATTGAACATGGTGAGAAACCATCCAAATATTTTCTAAATCTGGAAAAAAGAAATTATGTCAATAGGAATGTTACAAAAATTATTGATACAAATCAACGACTGATAACAAATCAAAAACATATTTTAGAAGCTATTAAGGATTTCTATAAAAATTTATACGAATCACGGGACAGTAGTTTAGAAGATGTTAATCTTGATGAAGTTTTAGCGGACCATAACATTACCATTCTTAGTAACAATGAAAGGGATGGTCTAGAGGGGGAGATAACAACTAGTGAGGCCCTGTCTGTATTAAAACATATGAAA